CAGAATGAGATGCTGAAGCTGCTGCTAAGTCGCTTCAGTCGTGTCCGACTCTGTGCGACCCCATAGACGGCAGCACACCAGGCTCCCCCGTCCCTGGGATTCTACAGGCAAGAACACTGGAGTGGGTTGCCATTTCCTTCTCCAGTGCATGAAAGTGAAGTTTCTCAGTCGTGTCCGACCCTGTGCAGCCCCATGGACTGCAGCCCACCAGGCTCCTCCGTCCGTGGGCTTTTCCAGGCGAGAGGACTGGAGTGGGTTGCCATTGCCTTCTCCGAGAATGAGATGAGCTGGCCACCATTTGATAAGGGAAGAGGTCCTTTCTACGGGAAGGGAGTCGCTCAGGCTTCTTAGGATCCAGCTGTGGCTAGATGGATGGCATTTATTACAAAAGACTGAATCTCTCTAGAGTGAAAGGACTGTAAATTTTGAATTTAATGAAAATTCTTGGGAGAAGCTTCAGTCCACAGTCACTGGGCCCATCAGCCCCTAGGGAATAAAGAGACGTTCTTTAGTGGGAAGGTGAGGCCCAGGGGACTGGGTAAGCTCCCGGGTGATTGATTTTACTGTGGCTCTGTGCTTGGTCTTCCAGAGTTAACAAAATGGGGTGGAGATGCTTAAGAATGACCAAGGAGATGTTCGTAGGGTGCAGTGGTGAAAATGGATATTCTTCATTGCCACTCTTGTGCTCGGTTGCCTGTTTGTAGATCTGACTTTAGGTGTGTACACATGATCTTGTGATCTTTGTGGAACATTCTAGACTGTGGAACACAGTAAGGTGTGAAGTGGTCGCCTCTCATGGAATTGTGGGTGTGCACTTCCTTTTTCATCGTTTTGTTGACTACAGATACTAGAAAATAGAGATAAACATTTATTAGTACTTTATCCTTCTTTCTAAGTTAGACCCTGAATTTCACAGAGGAAAATTTTACTACAGACTCAGAGTTGGGGTTTTATTGACCTGCATATTTTATGAGCACTGTGTGTCTTATAACAGACTAGATTTCCCTCCAGAAATTCACAGTGATGTCTGTGGCCCAGTTTTAACAAGCATGCAGAATTCCAAGGTGAGTGCGTGTTGCTAGCCTCGTTCTCAGCTCTACTTTTTCTTTCTGTCCTTATTTTTCCTTTATCTTGCTCACCTACTTCTAATTTATGTCACTTGATCATATTCCAAGTATCACTATATCTTTTCTAGAACAAGAAGTGGTAAAGATAAGTAAAATAAATATTGGGTCAGCAAGTGTGAGCATCCTTTCTGTTTTATGATGATTGTTATTATTTTTTGTGTTAGTGCTTTCCAAAGCATCAAACAAGTTTTACTGATTTCTTAAGTCCTCTGTTCTTAAGTGAGTTATTTTTTAAAATGAATAGGTTTGTTTGTGACTATTAAAGTATTATACAAGAATATTAGAAAATTTGGAAATAAAGTTGAATGTAAAATAGATAATTGTCATTATCAGTTCCAGATTTGTCTTTTAACTTTTTATGTCCAAAATTTTAATACTAAAGAAATCATATACAATTTCGTATCCTGCTTTTTTTCTTAAAACTATGTTGAAACTATATTTTTGTTGTTAAAAATGTCTTGTAGGCATGATTACTGATAACTGTAGAATAATTATACCATAATTTCCTTGACCATTTTTTTTATTGTTGGATATTTAGATTCTTTGAGTTTATTTTAAATAATATTGCAGTGAACATCATTATACAAATATCTTTCCCACAATTTTAAAAAGTATTTTCTAATGATAGAGTCCTAGACATAGAATAGTAGCAATTAAAGACAAATATATAAAGGAGCTTCCCAGGTGGCATAGTGGTAAAGAATTTGCCTGCCAGTATGAGAGATGCAGGAGATGTGAGTTCAGTTCCTGGGTGAGGAAGATCCCCTGGAGTAGGAAATGGCAACCTGCTCCAGTATTCTTGCCTGGAAAATTCCATGGACAGAGGAGCCTGGTGGGCTATACAGTCCATGGGTTTGCAAAAGCTCGGACATGACTGACTGACTGAACACACACACACATGAGCCACAAATAAAGGAGATAATTCAGGCAGATATTTTTAAAAGCTTACAATGAGGACAGCCTTCTTACCAGTGACACTAAAAGTAGCAACCCTAAAGGGGAAAAAATGGATAAATTTGACTAACAATTTTTAAAAGTCTGTGTAATAAAAGCCATTTGGTAATTATGATAGGTTAAGTGGCTCTAAAGCATTTTCGCAAATGGAAAAGACTAGACTCACAAATTAAAAATAAACTTCTCTAGCAAAAGAAGAAAAATATACAGCCAACAAGTATTCTAAAGGATATTAAATTGAAACAGTCATTAAATAAACAAAAGATACACTATTTTTCAGTTATAATTCCATCGAAGATAACCAGTATTGAAAATATATGGTTAGAAAATAAATTGGTCTATATCTGGAAATAGTTTGTTGATTAAAAATTAGTATGCTCTTTCATCTTTCATATTTACTGTTTCATAATTTCAAGAGAATTATCAAACAGTTGTTCAGTGATGTTTACTCTAATGATCTATTGATTGAAAAATTGTAAATAACATAAATGGTTATTTGGTTCAATTATGGTATATCCATGTGGATTAAAGATGATTATGTAGATCTGAACTTACTGATATAGAAAGATATCCAAGATGTATTAAAGAGATATAGAAAATATGAGTGACTATGCATAGCAAAAAACATGGAAACCATAATTTCATTTTTCTCTGTTTAGAGGGATTATGGTTTTTATTTTATTTTTCTTTAATTTTCCTGAAGTTTTAAAATAAATGTGTCTAGTCTAAAAAGGAAGGAAAAACAAACAAAAAACAAAAGCAATTGCCTGAAAGTAAAATTGGTTACAGCAGAAATAAAACTTGTGTTTCATCATACACACTGCTTTTTGTGGTTATCAAAGATTGATTTCAAAGTTAGAGTAGATAGACTATAATTCAGTGAAATGGTTTTGCAAACTATAATAAAGAGGAACAACCAGTTGATACCATGTACTGCTTAGGAGGGCAGAAAGCAGATCCCTGTCACAGTTCTGTTTACAATGAAAATGAGTTGCATTAGTTTGTCATCTTTCAAAATCTACTTCTCATGAGCCCATAATCATTGGCAAGTCCCCAGACAGAGGCTGTTGGGGGTGCTCTGCAGGGTCTTGAAGAACTTCCATTCCATCTGCTTCCCTCCCGTTGAGGGAACCGAAGCTCTGGGAGCCTTGGTCCTGTCCCAGAGCCGCCGGCACTGCCCCGGCCCCTGGCCTTGTTGTCACTCTTCTGTTGTTGTTCAGTCGTGTCCAGCTCTTTGTGACCCCGTGGACTGAAGCACACCAGGCTCCTCTATCCTCCACTATCTCCCCGAGTTTGTTCAAACTCATGTCCTTTGAGTCAGTGCTGCCATCTAACCATCTCATCCTCTGCCACCCCCTTCTCCTTTTGCCTTCAATCTTTCCCAGCATCAGGGTCTTTTCCAATGAGTTGGCTCTTCACATCAAAGTGCCAGGCTACTGCCCATGTTTCTGTCACCCTTGTGCCTAAAGATTCATAAATAGTGATTTAGATTTAAGTTTTTTCTTTCTCCTCTCTCTCTCTCTCTAGTTCTACAACACTAATTCCTTCCGGGAATCTTCTGATAAATCATAAATGCCTAAGTTAAACAAATGTGCCTATGTTTCCCGCCCTTACCTATGCTTCACAGGGGAAGGTTATGTTTCATGGGCATCGCTGGTGTGCAGAACTTTGCAAAGGGGAAAAGAGGCAGAAAGAGTAAGTTGGGGTTTAGTCCAAAATCGAGTCCTTTGGCTTCACAGTTTTGCTCAGTCTGTGAGCCTGGCTTCTGGGGAGGATGAAATCATAATTTTTGATGCCAGAGCTGTTCACTGGCTGCCTCTGTGATGGATGACTTGTTTATTTGTTTTGGAGATTTTTTGGTGCCATGGATTAAAGCAGACTTTTGATGTGAAAGATTTCAATAAATTTGAAAAAGATAGCTCGAGCCATTTTTATTTTATGCTTTAAATTCTGAGAACTATGACTGTCATATAGTCGGTACCCTCATAGGGAAAAGTGATGTATCTGAGACATAATTTTGGTTTGGACTAATTAATGTATAACAATCTTGCTTTGATATAAATTCATTTTATTTAGTATTGGTTTTTGTGGTTAAGTGTTGAAATCACATTTCAGAAACCTTAAATTCAGGGAAGGGGATGTGATTAATATTTTTTCTGCCATACAATGATATTTTAGTATTGTTTCCTTCTAGATTAAAAAAAATCATCTAAAATGCAGTATAGTTTCAGACTTATGGTCCTAGTAGGATATGGCAGAGTAGGCGAAACCTTTTCTATTTTCATCTAATCTGGTTCCTAAATGAACAGGTAATCTGTTATCTCTACTTTTTGTTTTTCCTCTGCCTTTGACAAAACTTGTCAGCATATTTAGCAGAAGGTGGAAACATATATATATATTTTTTAACAGAGTCACAGATTTGGATTCAGTAAGCAAGATTCTAAGTGGAATTACACTGTGTGTGTGTGTGTGAGTCACTCAGTCGTGTCCGACTCCTTTTGACCCCATGGACTGTAGCCCGCCAGGCTCCTCTGTCCATGGAATTCTCCAGGCAAGAATACTGCAGTGGGTTGCCATTTTCTTCTCCAGGGATCTACTAGAAGAAATTTTCAAAGTTAAGCTTGGAGAAGATGAGTCAAATGTTTTCTAAACACAATTCTGGGGGATAGTTCCATTTCCTGAGGGAGGGGAATGAAATCTCGACATTTTCCGTATAGATCCTTGAAATGTTTAACTGGACCCCACGCCTAGACTCGTCATTCCATCCTGGTGAACCCTGCCGTGTGGCTAGCGTGTTAGGTGGAAGGAAAGTGTGTTCTTGCCCAGTTAGGTTATCCAGAAAGAGCTTTTTTCCTTCCCTTCTGCCAAGACAGCTGCTTTTTCCTTACCCTGATTGTGTTCTGCTCTTCTCGTCTGCAGAGTACTCGGGTGGAGTTTGACCTGCCAGAATATTCTGTCCGTCGAAGATACCAGGATTTTGACTGGTTGAGGAACAAACTGGAAGAATCCCAGCCCACTCATCTCATTCCCGTAGGTACTAAGTCAGTACAGCTTGTTACTCACTTTTCCTTCTTTCTCTTTCCTGTTCACTCAACTCTCACCCCTCGAATTATGGGCCAACACTGCCTTACATTTTATACCAGATCCACTCATCAACTGTTCATTTTGTGGATGCTGTATAATTAGTTCACATTTTGGGTTTTGACTTCTGATCTGCTATATAGTATGCTGGTTTCTTGGGTGGAGTGGGGTAGATTTTCACATTCCTTGTGACAAGGAGATTTTTTTTTTTAGGTATGGAGAGTCCTAGTTTTCATTTGCTGCCGCCTCAAAGGCTGGCTGTTTCACCCTTCCTAGATACAGTTCTGAGGTTTGGAGAGCTGCCACCAGCTGGAGAAAGCTGCCTCAGATTACAGCTGGCCCGGTTTTCTTTAGACGTGGGTAATTCAGGGAGCAGGGGTCTAGCACACAATCCATCAACCACAGCTTTTCCTTTAAAACAACAAACCCAAAGCCGTCTAACTCTATTTGTTGAAGAAGCATACTACTCATCCGTTACTTTCAGTTCAGTTCAGTTGCACATTAAAAAAAAAAATAGAACAAATAAAATTTAAAAGACTATTTAAAATCAGCATACATGTGGAGTACTTCTCTGACTACTTTCTTTTTGAAGTATAAATAACTATTTAGATCCTAGATGTTTCTTGAGCTTTGGGGCTTTAGGGAAATTTGGGTCATGAAACAGTTCAGCAGGGCTTTATCTTTCAGTAAAAACCTTGGCTGGGTAACTTCTCAGCACTGCCTACTGCATCTTCCAGTCATCCCCTCATGGTTGGAAGAGGCTGACTATGCTGTGAACACTCTGGCAGTTTTCTTAATTTTCAAGCCAGAAGTGGCCATGTTGCTACTGCTGTGATGAGAATAAACCCCACCCCCCATCCCCCACTCCCATTCGCTCTGCTCTTGAAGTCTAAAGTTTTCCTTTTCCTTCTTCTGATCACTTAAAGACATGCCAAAAGAAAAAAAAAAAGCCTATAGTTTGTAAGCAGTTGAAACTATTCCTTAAAAATATTAATTTTGCAAAATTGGCAGCTAGTGAATTTTTTAAAATAGACTTTTTAGAACAGTTTTAGATTTACAGAATTATTGAGAAGACAGTACAGTGAGTTCTCATAGGCTTCACAGCCAGTTTTGCTTATTATTAACATTTTCTGTTAGCATGGCACGTTTGTCACAAATATCGAACCAGTACCACGTTACATTTAGTTGTCGTGTTTCCGTAGCCCCAGGCTGTTCTTGGTTGTGACGGTTTCTCAGGCTTTCCTGGTTTGGGATGACCTGGATAGCTTTGAGGAGTACTGGTCAGGCATTTTGTGGAATTTCCCTCAGTTGAGATTTGTCTGGTGTTTTCCTCGCAGTTAGCCAGGTGTGAAGTATTTTGTGGAGGAAAAGCACAGAGGTTAAGTACAATCCTCATTACATCATGTCAAGGGTACATACTATCATTAACGGTATTTATCACTGTTGATGTTAATCTTGTTCACATCATTGGAGGTAATGCTTGTCAGGTTTTTCCGCTGTACAGTTACTCTTTTTTTTTCTCACCTTTGTACTGTATTGGAAGAAAGTTGCTTTCTGTGTAGTTCATACTATGCATAAGGGGAGTTAATGCGCCACCCCCTGGCAACTGGGTGAATTTGAAGTTCCGCACTTAAAGATCAAAAGTTAGACAGCGACACCTGCTGGCAAAACATAGTCGCCTCATGTGTAGACACTGAAGCCAGAATTGAGAGACTGGAAGTCTTCCAGAATGCCCAAGGTGAATTTTTAAGTCTGTATCTTTAACCAGTATCTTTAAGTCTGGTTTCCTTTGGTCTGGGTAGAAGCATTGAGTAGAAGGTACTTTTGAAGCATGTAGAGATTTAAATTTCTTCATAAATTCCTAGTGCATATCTGGGGAGGAGAGAGATTCAATGTAGGAGAGCATCTCTGACTTAAACATGAAAGTCAGACTGGAAACAAACTATTTTTTTCCCCCCAGAAGTTCATTTTACAGCAGCTTTACTAGGAGGTGATTGTCTGTTGTTAATAATTGACTTTGTGTTGGTCCTTTTACCACCCTTGGGAAGGTGAGGGGGTTATAAGATGGACAAAGACTCCTATCTAGGAGAGTTTATTATCAGAGGGAGACCCAGTAAACATATAACATAGTTATTGTTTAAATTTTCATTTCTGTTTTTTTTTTGGAAAAGCTTTATTGAGATCTGATTCATATACTGTACAATTCACCCATTTGAAAATACAAGTCAAGAGCTTTTAGTGTATTCATAGAGCCATCAGCAGATCAGTTTTAAAACCTTTTCATTACCCCTAAAAGAAACCTCTTACTCCTTGCCTGTTAATTCCAAACCCTGTCTTCCCCAGAGCCTGGCGACCACTGCTCTACGTGCTGTCTCTATAGATGTGCCTATTTCTGGACATTTCATATAAGGAGAATCATACACAATGGTCTTTTGTGAGAGGTTTTTTCTTTTTTTCATAGCATAATGTTTTCAGGGTTCATTTATGTTCTAGCACGTGTCAGTCAGTACTTTGTTTTTATTGTCAGATGAGTGTCCCTTCTATGGATTTATCACATTTTCTCTGTTTGCTATCTTTGATGAACAGTTGGGTTCTTTTCACTTTTTGGCTGCTGTGAGTAATGCTGCAATGAACATTCATGTATAAGTTATTGTGTGGACATATGTTTTCATTTTTCTCGGGTGTATACCTAAGACTGTGATTGCTGAATCATGTTTAACTGTGTATTTAACCTTTTGAGGAACTGCCAGACTGTTTTCCAAAGTGGCTGCATCATTACACGTTCATGCCAGCAGTGTGTGAGGGTTCTCTTTCCTCCACATCTGCATCAACCCTGGTTATAACCTTTCTTTTTGATAACGGCCACCCTAGTGGGGATGGATTGGTATCTCTCTCTGGTTTTGATTTGCATTTCCCTGACAGCTAACATCCAACCGTCTCATTCTCGTTCGCTCCCTTCTTCTTCTGCCTCAGTCTTTCCCAGCATTTCCCAGTTTCCAACATTCCCCAGTCTTTTCCCAGTGAGTCGTCTCTTTTGATCAAGAGGCCAAAGTTTTGGAGCTTCAGCATGAGTCCTCCCAATGAATATTCAGGGTTGATTTCCTTCAGGATTGACGGGTTTGCTCCTTGCAGTCCAAGCGACTCTCAAGAGTCTAGCACCAAGTTGTCTTTTTATTATTGCATTAAAATGGTTCTTTATATAATCTGGATACTAGTCCCTTCTCAGATATATGATTTGCAAAAGTTTTCTCCCATTTAATGACTTGTCTCTTTATTTTCTTGATGGTATCCTGTGAAGTACAAAGTTTTAAATTTTTAGTGAAGTCCGGTTTGCCTATTTTACTTTGTGTGTGCTTTTGGTGTTTTAGCTAAGAAACCATTGCCTTATCCCAGGTCGTAGAGATTTACATCTATGTTGCTCCCTAAAATTTTTATAACTTTAGCTCTTACATTTAGGTCTTTAACCTATTTTGAGTTTGTTTTTGTACAGTTAGTTTTCATTATCCAGTGAGTGAAGCTGGATATCTTCCTGTGACTTTACTGGAGGCTGGCATTTCTTTTACGAATTGCCTCTTCAGTTTTAAATGTTTTTCCTCATTGTTCTGTGAATACTCTGTATATCTGCAAAGGACATTAACCAGTTGAGAATATCTATTTTTTCTTAGTTACCTTTTGTCTTCAACTTGACTCTGTAATAGATAATATCCATTCCCTCCCAGCCAAGGTAATTTTTCCCATACAGTTTCTGGCTTTGAAGCTTGTTTCTAACCTAGGATTTTTTTTTTTTTAAAGGTTATATATTTTCTTCTATTACTTTTATGTCCTCATGTTTAGTGCTTAAAGCTCGAGTGTATTTTGATGGGAGATGGGAAGATCTTATTTTTTTCAGATGGTGAGTTGTCCCACAACCACTTAGGAGTAGTCAGTCACCTATATCATAGCTCGTGTATTAGACTCTGTCATGCATTAGATTTGTATAATCTTGGGCTGTTTCTGAACCTTCTGGTTCATCGAGCTCTTTAGTGTGGTATCCCTGCTACACTATTGAATTATTATAAGTTCACAGAATGTATCAGCATCTGGTTGGATAGGTCCCTATCTCTACCCACAGTATTCTTTATTTTCCGAGTTTTTCTGGCTATTTGCACATGCTTTATTTTTCAGGTGAATTTTAGACCTTTAGTGAATCAGCTGGAAAATTGGGAATGATGGTGGAGAAATGGATTTTTTGGTGTGGTGGTTTTTTTTTTTTTTGCCAATTTAGTCAGCTGTGGTTAAAATTTTGTGAGAATTCCTGAGCTTTCAGAGCCTGCTGCTTATATTGGGAGCACGGAGATAAAGTCCCCACTTTTTGGAGGGCTTCACTGGAGCCACGTGAAATGGTAGATACACAGCCATCCAGACTATGGTTCTGGGGAGGCCCCCAGCTTCTTCATTCGCTTCTTCCCGTTGGCTGCCCTGATGCTTGCCCTGTTTTCAGCCCCGGGGGCTCTGAAGTCGGTAGCTTCTGGGGCTCTACCAGGGAAACTCAACCCCTTACTTCCTAAGTCAACTCTTGCTTTGCCTGAATAGTACCACAAGATGGTTAATAGTGATGGGTTTTTCTCTCAACCCGCTCTTTTCTGCTTTGTGTCTTTAAAAAATTCTGTCCTATTAACAGTACCATTATATTCTCTGGTGCTGCAAAAAAAAATTTTCTCTTTTTATATTGCTTTGCTTTTCTGGAATTTGAAATGCAGAGAGAATCAGATGTTTTTCGAATGGCATCCTAAAGCTAGAGTTGTGCTGGATGTGTATGTTTGTCATCTCGTAATGGCAGTTCACTTTGTTTTTCTTTGTAATCTGACGGTGGGAGTCACCAGAGTCTTCACTGTGATGTGGTTTTTGCTTTTTAATTTACATTTTGTCTTAGAAGTTGGCTTTAACACTGCTTCATTAACTAGGGCACA